ACTAATAGCCTAATTTATTTCAGAGGGAAAACAAAAAAGGGTATAAAAATATTACACACTTTGGGATGGGGAAATAAAAGTCTTCCAAATGTATTTTCCCCCAGGAGCTCCAATTAGCATGATATCGGGCATGGGGTGGGGGGGGATTTTTACCACATTTTTGGGCTGCCATGGAGCATTTTATTCCCAAGAGAAAAATAAAACAGGAAGTGACTGTTAAAAAGACCTCTCCTGAATTCCATCTGACTGAATTCCAGTCTAAAATGGCTCAAGCTGGGGTACAATGTGTTAACATACAAAACACAATTAAAAAAACAAACCCACACATATATCCAACGGTTAAAATACTTCACTATAACGCCATTAAAATATACTTATATAACACATTCTTTAAAATATACCAATTAAAAAGTCATGATGTAAAACTGACTACATGATGTAATCATCACTGTTGAAAAGACCTGGCCAAAGTACCCTCTTTCAGTTTTAAATCATGACTTTTTAATTTGTATCTGTGCTCTTATGAGTGCATTTTAGTGGTTTTATAAGCTCTGGGATCTTGAAGAGTCTTGGTTCAGAGAGGTGGTCATATTGGCAGGTGACAATTCCTCCTTAAAGAAGAGCAGGCAGAAAGCCTTTTGCAGATCAGTTGTCCAGAGACTGAATCTCCTCTGAAACTGAGCAGACCTCTTTGGAGCTTACTTGGCTTTTGCCTCCTTTGGTTGGTTCAGTGTTAGGCACTGGAGGGGTTGGAATCATGTCAGGCGGATAGAAATGTCAGGAAGTGACAGTCTGCTGTGGCTCCAGGGACACAGAAGCTGCTACTTGCTTGCTGCCCTTTTCGCCTCCAGCTGGTTTCCTGGGAAAACGTATCTTAACAGCTTACATCTAGCTTGCATCGCAGCTGCAGGATAGAAAGGCAAGGCTGCTGAGCCCTGGCTGGCGGATCAAAGGTGCCCTCGCTTCCCAGGCAATGTCACAAAGCCAGCTGGCCGCCTGGACAGCCAGCCAAGTGCATCTCTTTGCAACAGCCCTCTTCAAGAACAACTGCAGCATGCCTTTGTATCCGCAGTTCTTGGAAACATTATTTCCATGTGCTACAACTCCCAAATCACCCAGCAGTCAGGATCACTGTGAGATAAATCTATTCATTTCATTTGTATGCTGCCTTTCTCCCAAAGTGGGACCCAAGGCAGTTCCCCAAAAGACTAGTCTTTCAATATATATATTTTTAAAAACCATTAAAAACATGAAATCATTTAAAAGACATACAAAGTTCAAAGAAACAGATAAAACATTTCAACAAAAAAGCTTCTCTGCTTATCAGTCAAATGTCTTTGCCTGCTGGGAAGAGGAAGGCGGGAGGAATCCAGCATTACCTCCCACGAAAGGGAGTTCCAGAGGGTCAGAGAAGTCACCAAAAAGGCTCTCTTGTATGTCCTCACCAGGCGAGCCTATGATGGTGGTGGGACCAAGAGAAAGCTTTTGCCTGTAGATCTTACGATCCTTTCAGGTTGTATGGGGGGGGGGGGAATACCATCTTTCAGATAGTCTGGACCTAAACTATATGAGGCCTTTAGGAGAGTCTTGGTGGTGCAGTGGTTAAATGCCGGTAATGCAGCCACAAGGTTTGTGAGTTCGATCCTGAGGGCTCCAAGGTTGACTCAGCCTTCCATCCTTTCGTAGGTTGGTAAAATGAAAACTCAGCTTGTTGGAGGCAATTAGCTTACAAACCACTTAGAGAGTGCTGAGTTCATTGATAAGCAGTATAGAAATGTGCCTGCTATTGCTATTTATGGGTTATGACCAGCCTTTGAATTGTCCTCAGAAAATTTAACATGGGAGGTACATGCTTCCTATAACTCCCTATGGCTAGGTAATTCTGGGAGTTGTAGTCCAAAATATGAAAAAAACCACAAAAAATAAAAAGTAAATAAATAAATAACTACCTTTTCCAAGTTCTGTTTTGTATCTGGAATTTCACTCTGGTTCATTTTGATATCCTGATTTTGTTTTCCTCTTAGGGTGTAAGGAACTGCCCTGCACCAAAGGAAACAGTGATCTATTGCCGTGTTTATTTAAAACATTTATATCTTACCTTTCCAAAGTGTTTGAGTCAGGTAGCAAAGAAAGAATACATAGAGATTATTTTTTTTTTAAAAAAATCATGCAAATGCAATGAAAATGCTAATATGTGACCCTGTGTAGATTTACTCAGAAGTTCATCCCATGTGCATGCCCTCTAACATTTCACAGATGAAAGCTAGGAGGAATGTGACCAAGCAATATCGGAGTATTGTGAAGATAGCAAAAGTTGTTAATGGGGAAGAACATACAAACTGGAAGAGATTGTAGCAGTTTGCTTTTGACCGAGCCAGCTGGGAAGGGCAAGATTATACCGGCTCCACTTCTCTCTCCTCCTGGCTGAGTTAACTGAATGTTGAACTCAGCTTGCTGCAACTGATGTAAGCTGAGGATAAAGGGGAAAATCAGGAGGAGGAGAGAGAAACTGGGACATTTTAAAAGCAGTTGAGAAAGAGGAACAGAGGATAAATCAGGATGGTTGCTGCCAAATCGGGGGAATTGGAGGGTATGCATGTGTGTCAGGTGGGTGTTAGAAATGTGTTGGTTGATTGGATTTAATCTACTTCTATGTCCTCTTTCTTCCAGGTTTGGGATGCCAGCTGGGCTTACAACACAATTTAAATGTTGCAGTAAAACACTATATAGAGACAATGAGGAAAGGGGAGCATACATGATTCTCCATATGCTCCCCACCCCTATTTTATTCTCACAACACCTGTGAGGTAGACTAGTTTGAAAGATGCGTAAAATAGTGGAAAGTCCTGAGTTTGGGCATGATGCTTTTCACATGCAAAGTATCTCTGTGGGGAATATGTGACACTATGGAGGTTGTTAGTCCATCGCTCCCATTACCTCAAGCCAGCATAGCCAAAGGTAAAAGCTGATGGGAGCTGCAGTCCAACAACACCTGGAGGGCCACACATTCCCCATTCCTGGCACAGATTGTCTACTCAGTCACTGCTTCCTTTGCTGGCACTTGTTCCTTTATTTATAGACATTCTGGGCTGGACTACATGAAGCTATAGGGAAGCTCTCACCTTGCCCAAATCTTTCTCAGGCCTCTGCAGTTCTGTGTTGGTACCATGTGGTGACCCATCTGCTGATTTGTAACCTGTTTGCACAAGTTTCATTATTTTTTGCATGACATATTCCACCATCTGCACTGTTTCGCATAATATACTCCATTACTGCTCATCTTGACACTTTGGAAAACCCTTTACAATGTGATCCTGTATATGTCTATTCAGCAGTAAGTCTGAATGGGCTTACCTACAGGTAAAAGGATATAGGATAGCAACCTAAAGCTCTTCTGCTAACTGCTGGAAATCTTGTTCATCTCCAGTGTGTGTGCTCTAAGGCGATGTCAGCCATGCATACTTTTGCAGTGATGAGGACTAGAAACCTGCTGTCAAAAGAGAGAGAGAAAAAAGAAATGACAGGGTTGGGGGAGCTTATCTTCTCATGAACTTTTTGCCATTCCAATTAATACATAGGAGCTTCTCCTTCAGATTCATCAGCCAGAGCCTGACATGTTTACCTTCCAAGGTGACAAATGGTGCCTTTTAAACCCGGAAGCCAGTTTTCTGCCACTGGCACTTTCTGGGGGGGGACAGTCCAAGATGCAACAAGCAAACAAATCAATCTGAAGTGGCTAGTTTTTAAAAGAGAGGCAATTCACAGCTTCTATATTCTCCAGAAAAGGGGTGGTTTGGGGGCGTCTAGGGCTCTCCCCGCAACCTTAGACCATTTTCTGGATGTCAATCTCAGTGCTCCAAATAAAACCCATAAGGCATATGTTGCCTCACTCTCTGATGTGAATATATTTTACCCTGCCGTTCACACTGCTGCCAGCATTTCTGTCGCCTCTACTTTGGCACACACACAGATCTTTGAAATATTTAATAGCAGTTCTTCTTGTCCCCTTGGCTCCTCCTGCAGCGATTTCTCCTTATAGAAACAAACAAAAGGCGTTGGCCAAGGAGTTGCTCTTGCTGCCAAGGTGTCACCACCTGTCTCTGGCAGGACTCTTGCAACCAGCATTGAGTCCCTTCTCTTCCTCCCCAATGCTGAATAGGCCGTATGAATGAATTGAAGTGGAAGGAAATGCTCAGCTTTTCCCCAGGGAGGAGAGGAAACCTAAACATAGCTCAAGTGCGCAGAAACATCAAGGCCACAAACACTTCTTTTATTACTGTGGCGGATGGACAGTCTAAGTTTGGGACTGATTTATTTAGTTCTGAAAAGCAATTTACCCAGGAATAGTCAGAGGGTGCATCGACAGCGCTGTAGAAATAATGCAGCTTGAGACTACTTTACGTGCTGTGGTTCCAGTCTATGGGATCCTGGGATTTGTAGTTTTACAAGGTTTTTTGCTATCTCTGCTGAAGGGTGCTGAGTGCTGATGTCTCATTAAAGGACAAATGTAGCATGGAGCCAAAACAGCTAAAGTGGTGTCAAAGTGTATTATTTTTGCTGTGTCGATGCACCTAAATTTTCTCTCTCTCTGTCTCTCTGTACTACAGCTGTTGTGTTCTACCAAAGGTATAACTGTGCCATTCACTGCACTATTTCCATTTGTTTTAAGGCCAGGAAGGGGCCTTTCTGCAAAATTTCAGGTGTTGAATGAAGTCCTCCCAACTGATTGAAAACACTTTGGGAAGGTAGGTGTGCTCATGGGGAAATTGTCTTTTGTTCCTCCAAGAGGGTACAAAGAGTGGTGTTTTTTTAAATGAAAAAGCGATGGCATGAGTTTGTTGTTGTTGTTGTGTGCCCTCAAGTCATTTCTGACTTAAGGCAACCCTAAGATGACCCTATCAAGGGGTTTTCTTGGCAAGTTTTTTCAGAGGGGTTTGCCTTTGCCATCCTCTGAGGCTGAGAGAGTGTGACTTCCTCAAGGTCACCCAGTGGGTTTACATGGTCAGGCTGGGATTTGAACCCTGGTCTCTAGAGTCCTAATCCAACACTCACACCACTACACCGCACTGGCATGGATCTGAAGATGCTTTTACTCACCCAGGTTGATTGTTTCAGAAAATCCACTCCGGGATGCGGCAGGGGAGTTTCAGTCCAAACAATTTATTTTTTTCAGCTCTGTATCTTTTGCCACCCCTGTTAATGTACTTGGATGCAAGCAGCAGAATTGTAGCATAGAAGTGTAAATCCTGCTGGGTACATGGAGAGAGCTGTTCTGGGTTGTGACCAGCATTGTTGTGCCCTAGGAAGAGAGAGCAGAAGAGATTTGTTGCCATGAGGCAATACTTGGCACCTGATGTTCTGTATGCGAAAAGGTTAGCTGGCAGGTGAGATGGGGAAGGAGAGGAGCCCAGAAACCCTAGAGGCATCTGAATGCACTATCTAATGCCAGTCTCACAATTAGGCAATCTCACATGAGTGCCAGCCGATTCAGGCCACCATGAAAGAGGGGGAAAGTGTGTTGTTGCCAGATGATCGGAAGAGATGTCTGTTGGTCCTTCCGATTCAAGTGCCAAATAACGGGGCTAGCTTCAGATACTATGTGCCTTGTCCTCCACTGGGTGTGCATGATAGCATTTGCTGTGCTAACTCAGCTAGCAAAATTCCTAATCAGACCTCTGGTTTTATAAAGAATTTGCTTATCTCTCCAGTCTGGGAGAAATGTCTTTTCCCATACCCCTCTCCCTTCTCACTCTCTCCTAGAAGTTTATCATACCGGGACAAAGTGCCCAAATCCTGTGCAGAAACAGGATTTAAAAAAACCCCAAAACCCCACAAATGTGAGTTGATTTTCACACACAATGGGGTTAATGAACAATTAAACCAGACAGAAAGTCGACACAACATGTTTCTTTTTACTTTCGAGTAAAAAGAATCACGTTTTGTCGACTTTCTGACCGGGTTAATGTCACATTAATGCTCATTAACCCCAACGCCGTGTAAAAAACAATCCTCTTTTGCAGGCTTTTCCTGTTTTAAATCCTGTTTTTGCACGGGATCTCTCCCGTGTGATAAACTCCCAAGTCTCTGCAATGCATAGTTCTAAGAGATGGATAACTCACATCAGGACTCATAACTATATTATACCTTTTCTTCTCCAATTGCACTGGCCTCTATTCTGCTTCTGAGTCCAGTTCAAAGTGATGATTTTGACCTTTAAAGCCCTTCAAAGCTTAAAGCCACGGTGTTCAAAGCACCAAATGTCTCCATATGTACTGGAAATATTCATGACTGCCTGTAACCCCCGCCCCCCTCAATGAAATATGTGTAGGGCTGCATTAATACTTGATGAGTCTCTAGGCTATGTCAAGCTTGAGAGGCTCTAAAGCATTGCTAAAAGTTGGAATTTGGAGGATGGTGTGCATGTATATATGCATATCTATCTGCCTCTCCCTCCATTCTGTATTCGAGGTTAGTAGTCACATGGCTCTCTGGATGTTGTTGGACTTGCAGTTCCCAGCAGCCTTGGCTAATGCAGTCAATGTTGAGGAAAGCTGAGGTCCAACAATATCTGGAGTGTCATACATCCCTTGGGTCTTCTGCTAAGAGAAAGATGAGATAAATAAAAAAAAAATTAAATTCCTGATTTAGAGGCTCCTTGTCATCTTAGGGCCTAAAATGTTAATAATAATAATAATAATAATAATAATAATAATAATAATAATAATAATAATAAATTATTTGTATACCGCCCAATGGTTTCCCAATCCGGGCGGTTAACAACATAAAACAGTACAAAAACATCCCTCCCACCCTTAAAACAGCATTAAACAATTTCAGTTAAAAATTAGTAATGACAATAATAAAATCAATTAATTACAATTCCAAATGTTGGGCCTTTACAGACTGCCAGAAATAATGCAACTTGAGTCCACTTTAACTGTCCTGGATCAATGCTAAGGAATCATGGGAACTGTAGTTTATTGTGGCACCAGAACTCTCTGACAGAGAAGACTCAATGTCCCAGAAAAAAAATACAACTCCCACGATTCCCTAGCACTCAGCCAGGACAGTTAAAGTGGCCTCAAGCTGCATTATTTCTGGCAGTCTGTAAAGGCCCGTAGTTTGTTTGTGTTGAAATCTAGCAGTGGATAGGTGGCTTCCAGAAAGACAGTCTTCTCAGTGTTGGCTCCCAATTGTAGAACACTCTTTCCAGGAAAGTCTTAAGCTTATCGCACTGTGTTCTCATAACGTAATGAGTACGTGATGAGAACGTAACGTAATGTATTTTATCGCATGGTATGATCCTCATCGAGTTCCCATTCTGTGCTCTGACAGTCCCTAGCCCATTCCTGGAGGAGAGCTGTAAAAATATGTTCTCAGCCAGCAAGAACGTTTTCAGACCATTCCAGATGATGTGTGTGTGATAATCCTACCTGGTCTCAATCTGTCTTCGTGTTCTGATTGGCTAAGACAGGGATAGGCAACCTAAGGCCCGGGGGCCGGATGCGGCCCT